TCCATGCTGCTTTCCCTGCCTCGAGGCCAGCTGATTAGGAAATCTGATTGCATCTTCAAAACCCCTTCATAACAATACCTAGGTTAATGCCTGATAGGACAGTCAGAAGGGGAATTTGGAGGGTAGGGGAAAGTGTAATTATTTCTGTGGCATCCTCCCACAAGGTGACACAGGAAGCTATCCATCATCAGTCCTCGGCTCCTCTGGGATGCGTTTTTTTCCTTTAGATGCTTTGGAAGACATTTCAGCGGTGGGGGTGGGGCTTTTTAGATCTAGGGGACCCAGGGTTAGTGGTTTTTGTGGAGAGAGCTTGTGAGACCCTGTTTGAGGGTGAGAAGTATCCCCTGATTGCTAAATAATAAGATGTATTAGAAATACACGTGGTCCTCATTAGTAAAATAAATGAAAAACATTTAAATATCTTGAAAATATGTGAAGAGATTTACGTAAACTAGAAATGGGGCACTGGAGAGATGGTTCTGCTATTGATATCGTATACTGCTTTTAGAGAAGACCCAAGGTCAGTTCCCAGCGCCCACATAGAGTGGATCACTACCACCTGTAACTCCAGCTTCTGGGGATCCAGGGCCTGTGGACTTTTCAGGAAACTCAGACATAGACACAGACTTACTGTAAAAATAAAATAAAACTTGGAAAACCCCCCCTGGATATGGAAGAAACACCCCCTTCTTTATTTATTAAGTTATTTCATTTCACATGGTGGCCATGTGAAATGAACTCTGTAGTTACGATGCTAGCAATTTTAGACATTCTACAGATACCAATGTATGGATAATACATGTTAGTTCAAATTATGAAAATCATGAGGTAAGATTCTATTGCTTTGCTTGGTGATATTAACACAAAATTGTACCTATCTATATCTATGTCTATGTCCATGTCTATATCTATATCTATGTCTATATCTATATTCATCTTGCTACTATAAATTCATGTGGCTTTGTTCCCTCCAAAGAAAGTCCACACATGTCCAAGTCTCTCCCATAAGTTGCTGTAGTACTTGTATATAAGCTAGGCACATCTCCCTGTATCTTTTAAGTCTCTAGACTACACATAATGAGCAATATGTCAACACTGTGTAAGTAGTTGCTATCCTGAATTTCTTAGGAGTGAAAACAAGAAAAAAGTCTGTGTATGTTCACTACAAGCACAAGTATATTCTAGGATATATTCAGTCTTTAGCTGGTAGAGTCCAAGAGCATGAAGCTATGTTTACTTACTGGTAGGTATAGATATACAACAATAAACAGGACCAAATATAGGCAGATACAATGTATATTCTTTCTTATCACTCTATGGCATGGCTATAAGTCTTTGCACTCTTGAGCAAAATCAATTGTAATACAGTACAAGGAAAAGAAACATTATTATCAATTTTGTTTCCACCCACATACTATTGTTACATGATTCTCTTTATCTCTCAGGCACCCTTGGGTGTGTGTTCTCTCATCCAAATATCCACAAGGACTCATTTCCCACTGCCAGGCCTTTTTCTTTGCGTAATCATATTCACTCTGAGGTCATCCTTGCATGGTCTTTCTGTGAATTCCCTTCGGCTTGGCTCAGGTTTATAGGAAGGACTAGAAGACAGCTATGCTTTAGATAACGGCCTATCATTTCATCAGGTCTGACACATTCAGAATTCCACCCAGCCTTGACATAGAACCCCTGGTCCTTTCAAATCACACATTAATCTGTGTCAAATTGACCATTGTCTGGTGTTCAGGCCTTTGACTGGAAGAAGCAGGACTGAGGGAGAAAGGAAATCATATCCTGTCAATAAGCGCTGAAAATATTTAGTGTGGCAGGCTGTGTGTTTTCTTTCTTATGAAAAGCTGATTAATATTCAGTGGTTGGAGGTTAATGCCCCATTCATTTTATTCGCTTTACATCCTGCACACAGCAGTGGTTGTTCCAATTTCGGCTCCTAATTCATACAAGTCTGTTTCCAATCAGGAGATTAGTAACTTACTGCCTAAGCAGAGACAAACCACACAATTGCTTAGCTTACCTCTCTCCCCTGCTCAGGCATGCATATACGCTTAAAACAGACTTACTCGAGGATGGTTATGGATGCTTTGAGAGCAGCAAGATTTCTTCAGCGTGGGTATGTCTAGGAAACTTTATGTATGGTCTAAGCATGGGAGAGACACAGTTGGATGAAAGTGATTGGGGTGGGGGATTGTCAAATCCATCCCCAGGCACCAAGGTCTTCAGCCTTGCTCAAAGACCAGATATCCTTGAAGTTTTCTCAGTCGCAAATACTCTTCCATTGAATTGCCTTTCCACTGTATTAGTGTGAGTCACCGCTGACAAGATACTTTCTGCTTTGTCCTGCAGAGCATTGCGTCATCTTCTAAGTTTATCACTGTATAGCTTATCATCTACAAACTCCTCCTTATTATTTCTATTTTTGAGGCAGGGTCTCACTGTGTGGACCAGGTTGACCTCCAGTTCACAAAGATACACCTCTCTCTTCCTCCCGTGTGTTGAGATTAAAAGTATGGACCACGATGTACACTGGTTTTTATTTTATAGGATCTTTGATATAATTGGAGCTCCCTCCTTCTTTTCCTCCAAGGAAGTGAAATTGCAGGAGGATGAATTCAAGTGGAATGGTAGTAAAGGGTTTTGTTTTGTTTTGTTTTTTGGTCATGCAAGGAAAGCCTTTGAATGGGTCAGCAAAGCATTTCCTGAAACATCTTTCGAAATCTTACCAGATTTGTCTAGAAAGCATTCAGAGTAGAGCTGAAGGCTCACCCACTTGACTTGCAATTATTTAGTCACTATAGGAAAGGTATTCACACTCAGGATAGTAGAGGAGCCATGACGAGGACTTCGCGTATCAGGAGTGCACGTGCAGGACAGTTGGCTAAAAGGATTCACCATCACAGTGGTTGTCTGTCTTGGGGCTAGGTGTGGTTTTGATTGCATTTATTTCTTATATAGTCATATCATGCATCTAAAAATTGGACATGACTTTAGAATGGAGGGGCTGGAAATGCATGAAATCATGAGCTTGATCTCCAGCATGGCATGACTGGACATGACTGGACATGCCAGGAATCCTAGTATTGAGGAGATGGAGGCCAGCCTCCATTGGATAGTGAATTTGAGGCCAGCCTGGGAAATGTGAGGTTCTGTCTCAAAATGAAACAAAATTTTAAAGAAAAGGGATTAAGAAGAAGGTCTTAGCTTGAATGATTTGCTCAGAGATGTTGAGTTTGGTTGTGATTTTTTTTTCCTCCAAAGGGTGTTTTCCAAAAATGTTCATCTATCTTATTTCAAGGCTTGAAATCTACCTCCATCACCTAAGCACCATGAGGGTACCTTCCTTTCCTTTCCTCTTTGACTGACGTATTAGTAAAATAGAAAAGGATATTATTTTGAATAAAACACAAACCAATCAATCCACTACTGAAAATGTTCACCCAATCCCAGGTTGGAATTGACTCTGTGTTAGTTACTAGTGAAATTGCCCTGGTCTCATGGCTGTAAGCCTTACTGTCTTTTAATAGGCTTAAGATAAAGTAAGCCAACCTACAAAGGCAACAACAGGATGCTGGCACAGTGAGGAAAAGTGCTTGCTGTCCAAGCATGAGGACGTGAGTTCAAATCCTCAGCAGTCATGTGAAAAAAAAAAGCCAGCAATGGCTATGCCTACTATTGCAACCCCAGAATTGTGAGGGCCTGAGACAGGAGGATGTTTGGGGACTAATGGCTGTTAGCCCAGATCCAGGTTCAATCAGAGACCCTTTCTCAAAAGAATAAAACAGAGCATTATGCCAGGATACCCACATCTTTCTATGGCATCCACAAGTGCGCACTGGTACAGTTTACCTGCACTTGTAAGGCAGTATACACTACACACATCTCCCAGGGTACAATAGTGTCAGTTCATCAGAGGGTCATTGTAAGGACTATATGATTTGTATCTGTGAAGATACATGTAAATCTATGCATTGCTAAACAAATTAGTCATCACAGCTAGCTCTCTGTGCTATTTTTAATATGTCCTTCTCCTGACTCTCCAGCCAGCCTTCCAACATCAGGCAGCTCCCTGCTGTGTTCTCATTGGACTGGGAGAAAAACAATTGCCTTAACTTTTCAGCTAAGTCTCAAACATCTTCTATCCCTATACTTAAGGGCCGGGTCAGCAAAAGCCCAAGGAATTTGGGTGAAAATTTTATCAACTAGAACTGTGCTTCTCAGAGAATGCATAATGCCCTGCCCAAACCCCTTGAACATCTGTAGTCTTGTGTCTAAGCACCAAGTCCTGGAAGCTGCATGTGAGAAAGCCCTTGGAGTTTTAGCTGGGAGCTTCCTAGGCCGTTTGTGACCTGATGTCTCATTATCTTTCTTTAAATGGCAGTGCCAGCCACAATGTTACCATCCTCATCACTTCAAACATTATCTCCATTGATACCAAATACGATGCTATGTGACTGTCCCCACCCTGTACCATCAGAACTCCTCATCTGATAACACTCAAACACTGTCCCCATCAAACATCAATGCCCTTTGGCCCCCTTTCATCTTCTTCTAGGCCCCAGCCACCACGCCACTCCCGCCTTTATGACCCTGGTGTCTCTGGGTACCTCTTACAAGTTGCGTTATCTGAGGTGCTTATTTCATGGACCATCTTGTCTGCCAAGCACATCCCCAAAGGATACACACTCCTTTCTTTGTCTGAGCAAGGCTGACAGCTACAGTCTTCAGAGGCATCAGGAACCAATTGGTTGTTGGGGAACCAATCAGCTTGGATATTGGCAATGGTCCCAACATTAGCCTCGGTCTTAATTGGTGCTGATAAAAGCGCCCACTGACCAGGCTTCCTTGAGTCTCTGGGAAGAACTCCAGGGGTCCAACACTCTCCGGAGGAGGCATAGCTTCCGGGACACCAGGAAAGCACCGTGCATGATAGAGTTTCTCAGCACAGCAAGGCTTGCCTTTTAACTCTCTGATTTTTTACTTCACAGATGCCACCAGGAGGGATTCCTTGGCTTGTGAAAATACTATTTTCTCTTCCTGCCTTTGGGTGACCATTAAAAAAAAAGCCAGAGCTTGAGCAGAGCTCCGCACGGGGTGTCTGGCCAAAATGCAAAGTCGCACCGCAGTTTGCAGGCAGACGCTGTTTTTCAAGAGAGGGAGCAGAGTGCCGGGCCTTTCAGCACCTCTCCCGGCCACTTCTTCAAAAGATGATTTAAATTTGAGGCAATGGGCCCGAATGCTGAACGTCCGACACCCAGACAAGACCTAATGAATCATACCCTTGACCAGCACGGCTCTCCTCCAGCCTCTGAGCTTGGCGGCCATGGTGGTGTTTTGTTTTGTTTTTCCTCCCCCACAGAAACTTTTTTTTCCTTCCACAGACCATGTGCTTGTTAGCAGTGGCCCAGGCAACTCTTTGTATTTGTAACACGGAGAAGACATCCAGGGGGAGTCTACAGCCCCAAGTGCATGCTTCTTACCCGTGGGTCTGAGTTCCACACGGGAAGGTCAGTGGTCTTCTGGAGAGACTCTTCTTAGAACCACATCCCTACATAGCCTTGTTGCATAATATATAACCGCAACAGCCAGATGTTCCCAACTCTGTAGCATCGAGCTTTGTCATGACCTAAGTGATTCTAAAGGACACAATGTTCCCAGCTGCTTGTGGATGGAAGTGCTGGGGCTTGGGGCAGGGCTAGGGGGATGAGGTAGTTCTAAGTATTGAGTAGAAGTAACAATCCCCAGTGTGAGAAATTTCTCCATAAGGGGCTGTGGGATGACAGACTAGTGCATAGCTTACCTGAAAACTGGAGGAATACCATGTGACACTGTCCCTGGTAAGATGTGAGTAAATGTCCATTCACACCAGATAGGGACCTTACAGCAGCCCAAATTAACCATCCACCACAGTGAATTTACTACCTTGGTGAATCAGCGAGTTTGTTATGGTTATTTACAAGAGTATGGGGAAGGGGCCTACGTACAGGAGTGTGGAAAACTCAAAGACAGCTGCATCTCTGAAAGCCTACCACAGTGTGCATGACAACTCAAGAAAACTGGAAGCCTGGAGCTCTCTGCATTGCTTGAAGGCATTTGAGTAAGTCTGAGAGTCTCCTCAGCAATCCTCGTTGCTTATAGAACCTTGAAGAGGGAGGGGCTTTGTATATCTGGTAAATTTTAGGGACTTACTGAGACTTGTAAGTTGTTGACTTCCCAAGTCCTACTAAGAATTCCTTTCTAGATCATTTAATTCAGAAAAATTGCTACACTCCAAGGACACGGGCTGAATAAATCTGGGTTTCCTATCTTTCATGTAAATCCTACATTGGGCCTCACTCACCACTGTGACGGCTCAGTGTTTGATGGTTTCTGGTTATCATTATTTTACAGGTACCCAGAACCATACGCGCAGGGAGTTGGCAGGGATCTCCCCTCAGAGGCTGTAGCGTATGCAAACAATTTGATCTTCTAGTCCATTATTAATGTGAATGTTTAATATAAGCCTGATGTTAACATGATGTACATGAAGTTCTGGCAGGAAAAATGGGGATTTACATTGTTCTGCAAATCAGATATTCTATGCTACAGGGGCCAGTGCCTTTAAGGATGACAGGGATTTCCTTCACAGTGACAGGTGCACCCCAAAGTGCAAATGCCTAATGTGTCATAGGGGAGCCAGTTACTCACAGTGCCTCACTGTGATCTGTTGCAGGGTCCTCCCTGCAGGTAGAGCAGGGGAAGGGCTGGTCCAGCCGGTGAGTGTCGACGACTCAGATCCCTCCCCCCATTAGTTACCAGGGAGAAAAAACCACACTGAGTCGGGAGTCTGTCGAAGTAGGATTTCCATTTATTCAAACAGGCAGGAACTTATATAGGACTGAGGTAGGGGATGGGAATCTTGGGATAGGGTAAGGTGACGTCAGAAGTTAAGGGCCAATAGTATTCCACCAAGTAGGCAGGTAGCGAGGCAGGGGGCAATCTTGCATCAAATCTGGCTGAGTCACCCCCAAGTGGAGGTTACAGGTTAGAGACAGGTCACTAAACTCAAGTCAGGCTCAGGAGCTTACACTGGGCCTCGCATCCAAGCCTTTCTTAGGCCCAACAATCTGTGTGTTCAAAAACCCAGGGCTCATAAGTGGAATTTAGCTAATGTCAAATGGATGAGGTAGACAGAAAGTGGACAGTTCCATCTGTGACAGAACACCCCACTGCTGATGGCTCTAGGAATGGCAACTTCATCTCTCTATATATCTGAAAAACTAAAATTTTTATACAAAACTGGCCCCAGAGCCTGCCTGTTTTTGTCCAACCTCAAGCTAAGAATGGCATATGTATGTTTACATGTATGTATGTATGTATGTATGTATGTATGTACTACTGGGGGCCATGTGTCTGTCACAGTACATATTAAGAGGTCAGAGAACAACTTGGAAGAATTTGCTCTCTCCTATCACATAGGACTTGGAGATTAAAATCAATATTCAGGCTTGGCAGCAATTACCTTCACCTGGTGAGCCTTCTTGACAGCCTTTATGATGGTTGTTTTGAAACACTATATATTCAGCCCAGACTTTAACTCTTAGCGATCCTCCTGCCTCAGTCTCCAAATTGTCGGGATTATATACATGTCTTTTCATGCCAGGCTATTGCTACTGTTTTTACATTTTTTAATGACTGGAGAAAACATCTTTATGACATGTAGAAATGATATGATTATTCCAATTGCATCCTTCATAGATTGTCATTAGAACGTGGTTATGGTCATTCATTTACTATCTACTGTCTGGTGAGCTATGGTACAACATTAGCAGACTTTGTTTGGATTGTGACTACAGGGGCCATACAAACTAAATATATATTTTCTTCTTTTGATAGAAAATGTTTCTCTGCTTGGCTCTTGCCAGCCCATTGTCAATGACACCATGTTGACTGATTTTTTAATACCAGGTGTCTGTACACTCATTATTCCATGTTCACTTGACATACTGTACGTTCATTTTTCCCGTTAAAAGTATTTGCTGATGTGGCTGTCCCACTTAGAGCTGACCACTCTGAAGTCTCTTATTCTTTCACACTGCTTCTCAGGGCTCAAGATTTATCAAGGAAGAGGGGGGTGGGAAGTGCATTAAGGGCCAAAGGTAGTGAATGGCTACAAGGAAACATCACTCTTCAGTCACAATAGGAGGAAGCTGTATAGGTGAGCTCACAGAGGTTGAAACGGCATGCAACAAGACCCATGGAAGCCCAAGGTAGACAAAAATCTCAGTGTGGACAGGAAGATACTACATTGCATCCCTAGCTGAGGATTTGTTGGCACTTGGTGGCTGCCGGGAGACTATGGGTTTTCTTTAAGGGTGTCACCCCCTTGTAGCCATGGGTCAGCTATGCTCTGCGGAGTGAACTTGTGCTCAAGAGTGTTTGGGCCACACAAAAGCACTTCATGGGTTGAAGAAGACAGTGAGAGGGAAAGGGAGAGGGAAGGGGAGCAGAAAAGGGTAGAAGAGAGAGGGAGGGAGGGAGGGAGGGAGAAAATGAAGTTGGGAGGGTAGCTGGTGGGAGTGGACCTGGGAGGAGTTGGGAAAGGAGGTGAGTATGATAAAAATTAAGTATATGAAACTCTCAAAGAATTGATTAAAAAATTAAAAAAACATTTGAATGTTCTTGGCATCGTCACCTGTCTTTGCTTTAGGCTTTTTGCTTTTCATGTTAGTGGCTGTTTATAAAGCCACATTGTCAGACATCTGATGATTCATAAAGTAGCTAAGGGGGGGAAACAGTTCAGGGTTTAGAGGAACCACTTAGCATGCACAAATACCCAGATTTGACCTCTAGTACCATATAAATGCAGTGTGGGGATATACTTGCCTTCCCAACACTCTGGTGGTGGAGGCAGGAGGATCAGAAGTTCAGGAAATCCTGTCATAGAAAGATCTGTGTGTGTGCACACATACACATGCACACACGCCCACACACGCACACATATATACATATATACACACACATACACACAGTAACACATGCACACACACCCACGCATGCACACACATATACATATATACACTCACATACACACAGGAACACAGGCACACATATATACATACATACACACAGGAACACACACACACACACACACGCATGCACGCGCGTGCATACACACATTACATAAAAGTAGGAGCAGAAGGCAGGGGGCCTGAGGGAGTAGAAGGGGAAAAGAAAGCGCCCCAGGACTGAATATGTTCACAATGCATGATCTAAAAAGTTATTAAAAGAAAATAAGACAGACATTTAATGACACTGACTGATCACTAGTGTTTGCCCCTGGGGTGTTGTAACAGCTTCCTGAGCTCAACAGAGCAGCCGGAAGAGGAAACCCGGAATTCTCACGTGTTTGGGTTTTGCCTTTAACTCCCACCCACAGTAAGGCTCCGGTTGATTTGACGACAAGTAGCCAGGATAATGACTTGATGCTACACTTTTTTTTCTTTCTGAGAGACTCGGCCTACTTTTACAGATAACACCTGGCTTGGCCTTCCTTCAAAGCAACTCTGAGTCCCCTTATCTTTGACATCTCTCTCCTTCCAACCCCCAGGCTTCCCTCCCCCTACCATTCCCTCTAGTGAGTGGACTTTGTACGTTACAGTTACAGAAGTGTCTAAACTTGGGCACTTGAATGCTAGGTAGCACAGTTCCTGATAACAGACATGTCTCCCTCCCTCTCCTTGGAAAAGAATGTCCTCATGAAAGTGAAATTGCACCCAAGCACACTGAATTCCTAGACGAAATATACCGAGGAGTCTGTGATTGGCCAGGTGACAGCAGTCCTTTTGTTCCCAGCCAAATATTTACAATGGGGCCAGATTGTCATTAATTGTGACCGAACATTCCTGACCTTGGTGTAACCTTCTCAGAAGGTGAGGAGAAACCATTTAATCTCTGGGCTTTTATGGTGGTATCTTAATTTTTTTTCCTCCAAGCTTAGAATTAATTTCCCTAGTTTACAGGCTGCATGGGAATGTCCCAAGGTCCCCTTGGCCCCTCTGGATGAAATAATTAGCTGCACATGCTGTCCAATATTCTCGTCTACACGGGCCCCTCATTAGTTTCAAATCTTGGTTTAATTTCCAGCAGAAACAGTTCAGGCTTTCCTGAGACTCAGCAACCGAACCTGACCAACCACAGGGGGTCTCCTACCCAGACTGCCGCTTTCCTGGTTCTCCTCCACACCTCTCCATCCTCTCCTAGAGTCAGACCTCCTTAAGGTGCACTGCGAACTGTCCAGATCAGAAATCATTTCCTGAAAGCTTCGTGCTTCCTCTTCTGTCTTCCCCAGTTGCTGGCTTTGATCAGAATCCCTTAGTTTTCAGGAAGAGGGCTTCTTGAGTTTATTCATGATGCCTGGAGGCCACCGCAGAGTGGAGCATCAGTTCTTCCTAAAAGGAGACAAGCTAATGCTTCACTAAAATATTCTCTGTCATTTTTAGATTGCAGGTAAAGAAATGAAGAGATGGACAAAATAAGTGCAGGATAGCCTGGGGCCTTAGAGAGAGAGGGCCAGTACCTCAGGAGCAATGAAGGGAGAGGTAAGCTCAGTAGAGCAATGGGCCTCGGACATGGCTGATGGATGACGTCTCCAGATCACGTACAGAACCCTCCTGCTGAAGGATGCCCAGACTCAGCGGACTTCAAAGTCAGTAGAGTCCTGGCCTGAAGCACTCAGAACTGTGTATCTATACAAGTGGGTTCAGAATTCTATAACAATGGATTGCAGCTCTCTTTCTCTTTATATCAAGACTCCCATGATCCCCTAGCCGGTGTGACAGGGGGTGATGCTGGAATTATCTGATTTGATCATTGCTACTGAATCATGTGTGTTCTTTATATCCCACTCACCCCTAGAGACTTAACTCCAACTGGAGAAGCAAGAATGGCCTGCCTTGAGAGTAAAACTTGATTAATGCCAGATCTTTAAGCAAAGAGAGAAAGGGAGAGAGAAGAATTGAGAAGATGAAGGCTTTCAGAGTTTCAACCCTGATGTAGAGTTGTTTTTATTGGATGGAGTAACACTCTGATTATTCCCCTCTGCCTGGAACAGAACAC